TATTTTTACACTTTGGGATGAGTATGAAGACACAAAGTAATGACAACACAGATCATTAAAAAATAAAGGCATCAACATGTCTGTCACCCTGCAATAATTATAGTGATTATTTAGTTTTGTTCATATGCTACATGCTCCTGTTGAACACTGTTGTATTATCCTTTATTTCAACCTTGTATAATGGGGCATTTAACTTATTTTGTGTGTCCCCTGTATTTATTGCTGTGTATAGTATATATTTATATAGGGTAACTGTTGAAGGATAAGTGGTAGGCTTAAGATAAAACAGATGTGGTTCCGAATGCAGATTAACAATTTTGTGTGTAAATTAGTCGAAGTTAAAAGTTTTGTTTTAGAGAATAAACAATGCAGAAAACATGTGCATTTATATTTACAGTTTACGTAAAAAAATATGTTTATGTTTAAGTTCTATGTATTTGGTGCCTCGTATACATTTGTTATCACTTTCATATAAGGGATTGATAACATTATAGGAAATGTTCTTAAATTGCCTGTATACTTTCATGACTTCGCACTAATCTAAACCGCATTTGTAAATCACTCGGGTTACGATGCTGCGTGAAATGATCTTGATATTAAAAACGTACCAAACAAATTCCATAACATAGAATAAAAGCTGTAAAGATGGTATTTTTGTATATTTGTATTACCATCCACAAAATCCAAAGGTTAGAAAACAGGTTGTGACCAGTAAAGTTGTGCTGTGGATGATTAATTTGAATTTCTCAGTACCGCAAGCTTCTGTACGTCAAACAAAGAACTTAAAGACAGCATGAGTTTTATGGTTTAGACTCTGTAGGTCTTTCAGCATTCTGTCTTCCCTCGTAAATTGGGTTCCTGGTCATTCCCCGGCTGTTTGCCATCCGATACACCTACAGCTTGAACCTTCCCGAAAACACAGCCCCACTCTTTCTCTGCATCTTTATCCCCGTGATGACGGTGGTGAGCTCCTCCTGGGTGGAATGCCACAAGGTCGTCACTCCAGATCTTTGCAAGTGACAGCCGGTCTCTAAAATGATAGTTTTGATGGACAGTTTTCTCCTTGATCCCTCACAGCTGTCCAGGAAGAGGAGGAGGGGGGGTGTCTCTAGGGAACCAGTCTTCTTTTCATGTGGATTGTCACAAATCTGGTGTTAGCGAAGGGACAGTTGGTCGGTGTGAGACATGTTTGAAGAGCTTTTCAAGCCAGGTTTGAGACAGACAGAGTTAAATTCATCACATAATTTATCTTTCAACCAGCAGGGAGAACATACTCGCGATATTATTCTTCAGTGATAAGAATTGAAATAGAAATGTTCAGTTATGTTTTGTGCCTCCCTCTGGTACAAAGACATGTCTTCTGCTACATTACCATTCATTCATTACCTATTTCAATTTTTGACAAGGACTTAGGAAAATAAATCTGATTCTGAAAAGCCTGAGTGACTCTACCCTGCTCTCCCATAAAGTTCAGATGACCCACTTTTAAGCAAAAAAAAAAAAAAAACGTGCCTCTGTTGGACATTTCCATTCAAGACAGCAGAACAGCACAGAAGCATTTCAAATAAGTGTCACTAAGAAAATGCAGATAGTCATGGATTGTCCATCATGTACATAACTAATAACAGGACAGAGCATCATTGACCCAAGAGGAACGAAAACACAACTATGATCATAACTTGATCAAAGATAAACTCTGTACTTGTACCTGACAGCCCTTTTTTTAACCCGGAATGTTTTGAATGTGAAAAAATTACCATCGTCAGTTTATTGGGTGACGTCCAATTCTTTTATATCCAATGTCTATGAACCTTATATCCCACAAACTGAGCAGAACTTTGTGCTGGCTATCCGAACCGGTACTTGGGCCAGTATTTGACTTGTGTCCGTCTCTGAGCTGTTCCAGCGTGGACGTTCGCCTTCACCACTGCAGGTTTAGGTGGAGCTGGTGGTGGAGGCGAAGATTTCCTCCTCTCTTTGCTCCTGTCTGTGATGGTGAACCCTCGCTCGGCCTTGTCCTGCAGGCTGACCCTTGGTAAGAAGTGGGTGGAGACATGCTGGGATTTGACCCGTGGACTCGAGCCCATTTTAGCTTTACCCCTCTTGTTGAGGGCCACAAACCACTCGCGACCAGTCCTGTGGTTCCTGTGGATCACTGAGGCGTACGTGTTGTAGCTGTTCTCCTGGAAACGTTCCCTGAACTTACAGTCGTCTGTGAACCATTCCTACAAAAGAGGGGGGGGATATAAAAAAATCACAGGTGTGTCTCTGATTTAATGGGGATACAAATACAGAAAATTATAGTCATAGACTATAAGTTTACAAGGTTTACGTTAGGCCCAAAGTTGAAGGAAATATTGACGATACAGAGCTAATACATATATGTCATCAAGTCATGTCGCTAGTCATATATGTCATCATATATGTCAAGTAAAACTGCATTCATGATGGCAACATGCTGAACAGCCTGCAGTTGCTTCCTTACCAGCCCCAACAACGAGGCAACATAACACCCTCTGATTGTGATCTGCTCCAGAATAACTGAGGCGAGCCCGGGGGGGTGGTGGTCTAAATAACTTTCCTTATCACAGAGATGCTCTGACTGACAGCAGCAGAGTCTCCTCTGTACTCGTCAAAACTCATTACAGTGCTGTATTAACTTCATATACAAGGAAGGACACACACACACACACACATAGGCTGTTGATCGCTTTGCTTGTTAAGCTAACTGTAGATCAGTTAAAAAGACTTAGAAGTTATTAAAAACCAGAGTTTATCTCCAATATTAAGCAGGAAGCTTGTAAAATATGAAGAATTCTAAACAGAAGTAAGACTTTGTTACAGCCGCAGCTCCTCTGGTTCAGGAACCAGAGGATCATGGGTAATATCCAGAGTTCAGTTGTGTTTCAGTTCAGTGGGACGACACAGTCAGAGCCCAACACATTGATAGACTTTGTTTTTTCTCTACATGAAAACCTCGTCATCGCTCTGACCTGGAGCCCAACAGAAGTAATCACCTTGTGTGGCTGCAGGGGGCACTGTTGCTTGATAACAGTTACATAGTGTTGTTTTAAAGTACAAGATCAAAATCACAAGGGAAGGATAAAAAATAAAAATGTGTGCAGTTTGTCCCCATGTTGCTGTTTGCAGTAAATTGCAACTTAAACTAGCCTGTATTATACTTAGGATGATTTTTACATGATTGTAGCATCTTGGAAAATATTCTAATATCGTATATTATTGGGGTTTGTAAAAAATAAATATGAGCAGAGGCTGCTGTCACACGAACGGGCAAACTGTGATGAATTATACTAATGGGGATAACAGCACATGCTTTCGGACAGTCTCTCCTCAGAGGAATGTTGTGATGCTGCTGTGATGACAGTTGTGGAATAAGTGATAAATGAGGTTCAAACCCTGAATTATTCTTGCGTCCTTGTATGAACTGTCCATTTTGGAAAGTAAGAAAATTTGTCATCCACCAGAAATGTGGTGGGAGATGAAGTTTCAAATGTTTTTTTTCTTATGATCCTTTAACCTTTCTGCCATTACCAGAAAGTTCTGATCCAACATGTGAGAGGCGTCTGATTATTTAGTATATTTCAACGCCACAATCTGAGATATGCAGATATTCCACAGAATGTCCCTGTTTGCTACCTAAAAATATCTGCAGTGGGAAACTGACATGTACCCAGGGATGGCTGGTTCCTTGCTGCAGTACAACTTCCTTGTGTAACCTCCTGCCATTCTGAAACAAAACAAACTGTTCTGCTTTGCTAAAGAGTGCAGCATAGCAGAAAATGATGCCATTACAGCGTTTGGTAAACATGCCAGTCACAGGAGAGCATGTCCGCAGCCGCCGCAGGAAAGTACCAACGTCTAAGTTATCCAAAGTGACCAACTGTTCCTTTGGGCTGTTGTCTTTAAAGATGATTAGAACTCTGGAGTCACTGCTACGGGTGGATTGACGTGATTTAACAGAACGCTGCATTTGAGCAACATACCAGCTCTGGTACCAGTCAGAGAATTACACATTTCTAAACAACCATAGTACTCACGCACACACAAACATGCATACCAGGAAGAAGATTTGGGCCCTGCTTTGTTTCATCGCCAGATTCCAGAGATCTTATTGTTAAAATCATAATGCTTGTACAGCTGTTTAACCTGGCTCTTGCCCTGCTTGATTGGTCACACTCTTTTAAAGGGACCTTTCCCATGATCCCCGGGGTAAGCTGCTGTATGGAGGGGCAGAGGTGGAAAGTTTCTGATGGCTAGTTTTTTTTTTTCTCTACTTAAATAATATTTCTCCATCACTGTGTCCTTCTTTATTCGTACAACCAAGATGAACAGATTGAAATTACACAAAAATATGATACAATACACTAAGGTATAACTAAACTTGTGACTCTCATCTTATCCAGATTAACTTTAGGGACTAGTTTCATAGTAGTAACACTTAACAGTCTATATAAAACCTTTCCTATAAATGCCCAGGAAGCATTCTGTGAAGGCAAATTGATGCTTGTTGAGAGATGTCAGAAAATATAACCTGCTCTCCTTAAAGAAATTTCCAAAAGGAAGACTAATACGTTCGTCTGTGAGTCTGAGTGAACATTGGTCTCAAATTTGAAATTATTCTCTGTAGACGTTCTTAAGATAAAGTGTTCACAAGTCACAGTGACCTTCACATTCTAATCAGGTGATCTTTGAGTCCAAGTCAATGTTTATACCAAATTTGAAGGAATTCCTCAAGTGATGTTGTGTGATCTGATCACTGCTGAGAAAACCTCTCACTTTTTACACATCAAATCCTTTACAATATCCTCTGTAGCTTTTTCCGTCACGTATTTCTGTCTCTCTCCTAACCACCTGTCACTCAGTGCATGTGACCCTGTGACCCCTCAAAGATTATGTTTGGGATGTCTTGCTGAGAAGGTCACGGAGAGCAAAGAGGATCAGACTCTTCCGCCATCGTTCAGCCAATAAACTGCCACTGAGGAAACATCTAAATATGACGGACGATGCAACAAGATAAGGTTCAGGATGTCACCTGACACCCGGCGTACGCTCAGGCCTCTCTGTGGCCTGCAGGTTTTACATCCACCCCAAATCAGCAGGAGCCACACACTGGAGTTTATGTTAGACAAATGACAATATCTCTCCAAAGGAACATTAGCAGTAATCTAGTATCAGCTTGTACAATGTTGAATTGCACAATTTGTTTGCCCAGAAATCTCAGCTCAAGGACGACATGAGGTTTTTGTGGAGCCTTCAATGAGGATTTGTTTGATTTCAGTTCAAGAACTAGAATGTCACTCAGTAGAGTTCATACCCACCAAGGCCCCACAGCCACCTTAATTCATTAGATCCAGATTTTTATTTGGATCTGTACCAAGTTTTACACATAACAGACGGGCAGCAACATTTAATGGGTCCTTCCCTGACTGATACAGCAGAGAAACAAATACACAGACAGAAACATAACCTCCTTGGTGAAAGCAATAACGGCATCAACCTGACTTTTGATTTTGTAGATTGACGCAGATACAACATGTGGAGCATAAGGACCGGACATGGAGAGCTGGAGACTTTTGATTTTTGACTTTTTGACATTGTAGAACAGGAAACTGGGGCAGATGAGACACGACTTACAGACTTCCAGCAGAACGAAAACGATGATTGAGGTTTTAGCATCGAGGTTATGTCCCTCAGTTTTTTTATTATCCGGGCCCACGTTGTCTCAGTTCATGTGTAAATCCAGTTCATGATGTGCTCTGAAGCTGTAGTGATGACTGAATATGTTTCTGCTGGCGGACAACGACCGGTCACAGTGGAGTCATTTCTAACACGCAAGGCCTGAGAATTAGCTTTGATGAAAGTTGCCACATCGTTCCCTGCTGACATGGTTTCATGAAACAATACGAGGAGCTGAGGGGGAATAAATCACTGTGTCGGAGCGTTAAGAGCCACAGCAGCTCACTGACTCTCTGTGATTGTTTACTCAACATATTGATTTTCACTTTGGGGCTCACTCCTCTATGCGACTGTATTATCAGCACTCCCAGATAGGACTTAATCTGCTTTCCCCATTAGCACATGCTAATAGGAAGCCACTTCTATCGGCTTGCCTGCCAAGGCTCCCAAAGATGACTCGACAGTGGCCAGACTGCTTACAGCAGCAAGACCAAGCTGCTGTAGGGAGATTTGAGTTTACTGTGTGTTTGGGGGGATTTAAAAATCTTCAAAACTGTGGCTAAAGATTACAGCAGTATGTCCCATGACATGCTGATGTCAGATGTGAGGAGTCTGGACAGATGCAGAGCTGCAGAAATTAATAAATAAAACAAATATAGCTACGCTAGGCATAGTTTTGATGGAGGAACACACCAGTTTCATGGGTCCAAATGAAGGTGAACTGCAGTTGAGAGTTGCTGTCATCAGTGAACAATATGAAACTTTGAGAGTAGATAATAAACGGTAAAAATTGATCCCCAAAGCTGCTTTTCAGATCTGCGCTGAAGTCAGGACATTTTCTGGAGGGGCTGTATGTGAGAATGCATTTGTTCAAGTGAGTTGTTCCTCTAGTAAAATATCCAGAAAATGTTAGAGTTGGCCCAAGTGAGGATACAGCAAGAAAATGTCTGGAAAGTTCACAGCGAGTGAGTGGACGTGTTAATGATGCTTCTAACTTTGATGTCCTGCCTCCTGCTGCTCCACCCACCCCACACCTGAGTGTTCCAGACATTTTCCTGTTGAACTTGTCTGACCCGGAAAATCCCCTTGCTACATTCTTTATACGTGAAAGTCAACCTCTGTTCCACACTTCTCACAGGAGATCGTACCCATTCACCAAAGTTACATAGAGCAGGAACAGATGTTCAGGGTGAGGATTGGGAATCAAAGAGGAAACATTCACACTAATTTTAGTGAGGCTGCTATTTTAAGGTAAAAAGTTGTTTTAAGTTATTTGTTAACATCGGAGAATAACAGCACAGGAGCCGTCGCAGCTGCATGATTGGACGACAACATCTCAATTAACGCTTGTTATCTACAAATAAATGTCACTTCAAAATAACATCCAGTCGTCCTGCACAGTCAGCGGAATGAGCAGTATGTGCTGAGAGGGAATTAGAGAGCACGAGGTGACAAACAGAAGGAGTAAGTGAAGTGAGCGAGATACTTACGGTGGCGTGGAGCCGTCCTCTTTTATTCATGGCCAGGAATCTGTTACTGTAGACCCCTTTGATGCCAATGACCCCCTGAGAAACCGCAAAGAGCTCCAGAACACCTGTGAGGACAAACAACACGCTCTGATGACCGGGGGGGTTCACAGTGTATTTTTACTGCACTCCTCATTTTCTGTTTCTCGTCTCTTCTCGAAGCCGCCAGAGTGGACGTGACCTGATCTGAGGCCGGAACAGTTCAATTATCTTAATCTCACAACATGTTCATGAGGATTTGATGAGGATATTTGTAGAGCTTATATTCACATATAACAAGGTGCAACATTCTCGACTCTTGAGGGAGGAAAAACTACTAAAAAAGGTTCTGGGTGAAGAAAAGTGAAAAGTATTCCTGAATTCATGCATTTACATACAGATGTGCTCCACACTCCCGAGTCATCCCTCAACAAAATGTCATGGATATTGGTTCCTAATCCTGTTGACAGATAGACAATACACCCAAAATCCTTTAACCTCCTTCTCGTAGGTTAACACTAAAGCTGTCTACTAAATCCAAACTGATGAACGGCTTGTTCCTTCCTATACTTTGGGTTATTGAACACAATTCAATATAATAAAATAACTTGAATGTCACTCAGTTGAGTACATATGTCCGCCAAGGCCCCACAGGTTCCTTAAATTCAATCAAGCTCCACCAAATTACACACAGTCTTAGATATCAATCCCCTAAATAAAAATAAGAATCTCAAAATATTAAAGAGATCATTCTTTGATCCACCGTCCTTATTAAACTCACTCCTACTTCTAACAAAAGTTAACGACTCATTCCTTGGCTCATGTCCTTTGCTTCCATGTTTGGTTCTGTAGTTTTTGTTATCCTGCTGACAGACAGACAAACCAATGAAGACGTGACCTCCTTTGTGGAGGTGTAACAATCAAACAGAAAGAAAGAAAGAGTGTTGAACCATGTGTCATGGTCGCTCCACCTTCATCTGTCACAACAAACCAAAATACGTCATGAAAACACTTGAAATTCAACAGGTTGAATATTTATATAATTGCAAACAGGAGGGAAGTGCTGTGACAAACCTGAAATAGAATCGTTTTCCTAGATAACTGTTATAGTGAACTGTGTGTACGAGACTATCTGAGACGATCTGATGCAGGGCGACGGTAAAACAATCTTCATGTTACAAATCTAAGACGCCTGCTCGTCTCCGGTGCTGTCATGCAGGACTCTAAAGCCCACATGGCTGTTGCGATGAAATCTGTGTAACCTGACAACTCTTCTGAGGGGGACCATGAAATGGACGCACAAGTGCACTTTTACGGAGCGATGAGGGATCTGATGGTGCAGTAGAAACTGAATTTTGATTTGTGGCTTCAGTGTCTTGTCCCTAACAACATAGGACGAGATTCACGTCTAGGCCTCGAGTCGTAACTTGTATTTAACTATTTTGTATTTGAAATTATACATAAATAGTTAGTTAGATAATAGTTTTGTGTGAGTCTGTAATCTAATCGTCAAGTTTTTAGTGATGGTATCTTATTTCTTTACTTGGAAATGCAGATAAATAATTACACTTAAATGTCCTGTAGAGTCTTTGTTAGTCATCTACCTCCTTTTTAAAACATTTAAATTCAAATATCTCATTCTTATTCACAATTTATGTTTGCGTTTCATAAATTTGACTACAGGGCACAAGCTGATCAATCATATAACACATTCATTCCTATAAAAGGACTGGACCCAGGAGAAATGCATCAGAGGAATCATGGGCAATATTCACACTGCAAAATAACTCAAAAATCACATTTGTGCTGCTTCAAGGGAAAAGTTATTTCCACCGATTATTCTTCTTCAACTGTTTCGGTTTTTTTAATTAAAAAGAAGCTAAAAGTAATTGAATTTGCGCAGAAATGAAATAACACTTTCACTAGTTTCAACATATTCTGTTTTTAGGATGATAGGGGTTAAGTTTTGAGCTGGATATTTTTTGCAGTGTGCGGAGCAGCGTGGTTGTGATGACAATCGGTCTGATTGGAAATCCAACACATCCTGGTCCCAGTGTCCCTGCTGCACCTGTTACTTCCACAAATACCTGCCAACATCCAGAGACTCAGACAAAGCTCTTCACCCACATGACGCTGCGCAAATACCTCACAGGGTCCGGCAGCCTAAGTTTGGCTGCGCGCTCCTCACACTCCTCGTGCGTAAATCATCATTGTTTAAACTTCCAGTGGATCACATTTAAAAACAGACAGGGCTGCAGGAGGGAATCAATGAGAGACAATGCGGGACTGATGGATCCAAGTGCGTCCCGAGGAGAGGACGCACTTGGATCCATGCGTGTAATTCAGCAGCCATGCAGAGCGCGCAGTGAGTGCACCGTGAGACCGGAGGGAACCACTTACTCAGTTGGTTGGGCGCATGGCTGCCGTTGACTCTGCCGTCGGGATGAATCTGCAGATGGAAGCCGATGCCAACCCTACAGTAGAGCCTGCAAGTCCTGCGTCCCGAGCGGATCCCTTCCTCCAGAAGTTGGCTCTCCAAAGAGACGTGCTCCTCTCCGGCGGCGGCGCAAACCAAGTGAGCGAAGGTCAAAAGGTAAAGAGGAACATTCATTCTTCCACAGAGGAGACACTCGCTAGGACACTTCGCGCATTTTGGCGTCGCTCGTACCGAGGTCCGGGCTCCAGAAACCGTGCGCACACACGCACACACTCACGCATGCAGCGCTTGTGTGTGGGCATTACCCGGGCTGCAGTAGCTGGAGTTGTTCTGCTGGCACGGGGATATTTATAACGCCAATGATCTCATTACTCGATGCATGCCTGAGCTCTAAAGGACGCTCTTTCATCCAGATTCTGTCGCCGAGATGCCACTCCTGCACATCACCGAGCCACGACAGCGGGGCGTGAAGGAAGCGCGACTGACACCGCACACTTTCCGAGGACTCGTCCGCGCCAGGACGCACTAAGCGCGGCATTTTACGCACGAGGAGACATCGTTGTCACAGATAGAGGGCTCGATTCAATAACGCACATTGGAGGAACGACTTAAAACGTTGCCTCTGTGCTCACGGGGAGAGTTGAAGCTGAATAACGAATCGTTAAACGCAGGAGCAGCTCAGGGAGCACAGATCCTCAGGTGTTGCAGCAGCAGAGTTTAAACTGTGGCTCAGACTCAGCTGTATTTATAGGCTTTAGTCCACTTTATCATCTGATACGTGCACATGCTTAAAACACAAGCGTCTGCCAAGCTCGTGCATGTGGACATATAGTGGCCGTGGAGACAATTGATCAAATTGTGTATTATTTTTTCTTTTAATCAGAAATTAATCAGGAACAACCAATTTGTGTGTTTTAGCTACTTTGATTTTATTATTTCCTCTCATGAACATTTGAATTTTCATTATTACAGTGACTGTTCCAGCAACAGTTGTGAAAGTGTCATCAATCATCAAAAACAACCTGCAACACTTCGTGTGTTCAGATGCTCCATTCAGAGTCAATCAGAGACTACATTTCATTCTATTAAAAGTGAAAAAAGTTAAGAACTCATCTGACTCTTTTTAGTAGTTGAGGTCACAGGTTTGATTCCCTCCTGTGAGCCTTTGAGAACGACGCACCCAGAAAACCCACAAATCTTATCCAGTCAGAACCTGTTGTTTGTGCCCCATTTTATTTACAGCAAAGGTATTTTGAGATGTTACAGGTGTAAATATCAAATATTAAATTGAAAATAGCTAAATTTCATTTGTGTCAGTTTCACTCCCTGGGGTTGTGCATGTGGTTCACTGTCACACCTGAATGGAGCAGAGCCCATCTTAAAATCTATAAATGTAATGGCCACAGTTCTTGATGTATTGATGATAGAGTTCTTTCTAGATTTCTTCTTCTCTATAGTTTAAATGAATGAGTTTTCCTGTGAACACTAATGACTCACTTCCTGCTATTATACAAAAATGAAGCCAAAATATCTTGGGGGGACGCCATCTTGTTTTGGTGATTTTATTTGGAGTCTGCACATTAATGATCATGATGTGGAGCTTCATTATCAACAATACACTCTCAGCCCAACGAGTCAGTCTCAGCTGTCAATCATGAGGTTTCACCCGAGGTGTTATAGAGTCTAATAACAAAGTAAAACCAAACAGCCTGCAACAGTTCTAATCTTATTCCTTATATCATGTTGTATATTTGATAAACACCCATGTGATGCTGTTTTCTTTGACTGTGCTAACTGCGGCACATGTTTAGCATTAAGTTAATTAATTTTCTATCTTCACATGTATTCATTGTAATCCCAGCCCTCATTGTTTTCAGGGGCCCTGCTATGTTTGAATTTGATTAGTTTGTGCCCGGCAGTGGATTACGGCCAGAATAGGGGCCTAATTGTCTCTGGCACACAGAGCAGGGGCCGAGCCCACATTACCTTCTATGTAAACAGCGGGCCAGTGTTTAGTCCCACTGTTCTAATGGCCAGTCATTCCTGTGAGTCCATTCCAGTAACAGTGAGGTAATCCTCCGCAGTCATATAAACACGGATGATCCTGATTGATTCTCCCGCCCCATTGATCCCAGCTTTTAGCAGCTTTTTAGTCTAAGCAAACGGCAGACAAACGGCAGACAGCAGGTTCTGCCACGGCCCTGAAATGTCTGAGCCCAGAGACGGTGATCAATCTGAGGGTCGAGGGCACTTTGAGGGAGCATCTGACCGGCCAAGGTCTCAATCATCAGCACGATGACAACACTGCTCTGGTGTCCAGTGGGGCTCAAATAGTCTGCATTGTTATCATTGCACTGTGTGTTTAATAAGAGGAAACTTAAAATAAAAGCACAGAGGTCAAATCTGAAGTGAAATGTAATTGCAAGTTTTCCTGAAGTTTCACCTCTAATCAAAGAAGGTTCTTCGTTTCTCAATAACAAGTGAGAAGTTTCAGGTTCAAATCTTGCCTGTTTACACTTGTACAACAACACATACTCAAAGTTTGAACACAAACTTGCACTCAGTAAGTTTTCTCAAGACTTCTCGCCACCGTGACGTGAAAGGAATTAATGTCATTGCATGGAGCAGGAGATCAGGATCAAGAACTCTCATGAGAGTCTGTTGTACATTGTCCCGGATCATCGTCACTTAAAGCTCGAGGGATTCAAACATGTGTGAAAGTAGTGTTTGTGGACTCTTCAGGTAAATATGTGTCAGCGCTGCAGGTGAGGATGAGCAAAAGATATGAACCTCTAAAAACCTGAAGTGAAGCTGTTCAGCAAATTAAATGAATATATGTTTTTCTGCTTGTCCCAATTCACCCCTCAGCCCTACACTGGTTGTATTCCTCTAGCCCTTCAACTGTGGTATATTCACAAACCCCCTAAAAACAAAGGTTTTCCAGACGGAGTGAATCAAGATATCGCTGCAAAATAACCATGAATAACCAACTTCTAATGAAACATTTTAGAAGTTATGGTCCTGGAAAAACTGCAGAATTCTGTTGGAAATAACTGAGTTGAAATATTATTCACTGGCTGCATCTTCAGTCTCATCGCTGACACTGTGCAGGTTCCTCAGTTTCATACCTGCACTGATGTAGATAAATGAATTAGCATCTGCGTTTGCTTGTTCTGTATTTGTGAGTCAGAATTAATGAGCTGTGTCTCAGATTGTTGTTTATCAATGTTCGTGGGAGTCGAACAACTCGAGCTTGCTCAGAGACTGTGTATGTTTTCTCAAACCACTTAATATTTTAAGAGGCTTTTCTGCGGAGACTTGTCCCGGGCTTCTGTTTGGACTGAAGACGTCAGCCAAGTTCCCTTCATATCCATCAGGCCTGTTTGTGTGTGATTTACAGTGTTTATATTCATGCTTTGTTCAGGAACGAGGACCAGACCTTTAGTGTGAAGATGCCATGTTCATCCACACACACAAACACACGACTGCCAGCTGACTGGATGGACTTTGCGGAGCGTCATGTCAAAAGTGTCATCGTGGGTCATCACTATCAGAGCTTCCCGCCATCGCAGCCTCTCCAACATGTCGTCTTCACCGTCCAACATGCTGTCGACCATGTTGTTCGCACTCCACTGATGGACACTGAGACACAACAGACACCCCCCCACCTCTCGAGCTCTCCTTCTTTCTAAGCTCAAGGTCCAATGACGGCTCTGTGAAAGGACAAGACGGAACCTGTGCCGGGAGGAGGAAAAGTCACAGGAGGAGAGAGAGGAATTAATTAAATTGTTTCTGAAGCCGAGCATTGAAACTAAACTTCAGAGTGAGATGATAAACAAAGAGCTGGGGCAGAAACTAGCAGGAGAGAGACGCTGCTGCTTTTTGTTGTTGTTGTTTTTCTGCTCACTGTCTCTTGGCGGAGCTACAAACCAACACCTGTTCACATGTAACTGACACCACCTGAAGAGGAAGTGTGTGTCTGTGTGTGTGTGTGTGTGTTTGTTTTAATAAGCATCACTGTGTAAAAGGGACCCTGAGAGAAAAGCGTTAAAATCATAATTGTTTCTTTTGCCGCCATGAGTTTACCTTCAACGAGGAGTTTATGTTTTCACCCATTTGCAAGACTATGAAAAATCAACTTAACTGTTTTTCCACAAAACTCAGCGAACAAATGTGAGTCCGGAAAGAACCTGTTACACTTTGGTGCAGATCCGGATGAGGGGGCGGATCCAGGACGGGATGTTTTTCTACATTTTCAGTTTTGCCAGGAAAAAGAAAAAGACAGAATCGGTTTCAGACCCTGTTCGGTCGTTCACACACACTGATGCTTCAATTTTAGCCTCAACAAATGAAGCCCAGACGAGCTTGGTGCTGTAGCTGGATCTGCCGATGTTCTTTTCTTTATCAGTTTGTCTTAAATCACCAGAGTAAATCAGCCCTGTGTAACATGAGCTTTGTGAACCAGAGCTCCAATCTGAGCTCCATGTGATGGATCTAAGGGAGAATTAGTCATTCTTATTGAAACCAGCCGTTGGACGTGGCTGCAGATCAAGAACAGATGCAGTCACAGAGGAAAGACTTCAGGTGTATGGCTGGTTCCTGCAGGTCCTGAGCTCCTGAGGCTGTGGTGGAGATGTGCGCTTGTAGGATTTCAGGCGTTGAAATGTCTCCTGCGGAGTCTTGATTGGTCTTCAGCTCCCGGTGAAAACAGCTGAGAGCAGCTGATGGCGATCCTCGACCTGGAGCAGAGCCAGCAGACGGGAATGAGGCCAGAGCTCGTCCTCAAACTGTGTTTGTGTGGTTCTGCTGGAATTTGACTTTGTGACATTAGTGCCGGAGAATACCTGAAATGCTTGAAATCCCATTCTCTGCTGGTTAAATATAAATATGAAGCCTTTGTTGAATGTTCGTCAACTTACATTTTTTAATCCGAAATCTATTGTATTTTGAAACCAATAATAATGTCAGACTTGACAGTTATTATTCATTTGAGTAGTATTGTGGCCTAGAGATACTGCAGAGTTGAATGATTCCCAATTAGATCCTGTTGCTTTCAAATTATCACTGATATTTTTTCTTTCTTCTTTTAGACAGATTGATGCAACGAGACACTGAAGTGATTTACTTTTAGATTTCCCAATTCTTTCCTGATTGCGATGGGAAAAGTTTGTCTGTTCTCTGACTGTGACAGTTTCTCTCTCGCTCTGATTCACTGAGGCAACAATAGATTTAACTCCAGTAAATGAATTACAGGTCAACAACAAGTCGACCAAAGCATCTTGTCTTTGAACAAGGAGCTCTCAGTGGCGTTCTATTTATGCACCGTCCTGTGATTTTGAGCAGATCTCCCACTTGTTGCCTGAAACCTCTATAAGGGGTCGCGCTCTTTGTTCTGCTCTTGTCACTCGTAATGGCTCATCACTTTTCCTCTGGAGGAAATCTTTTGAAGATATTTACATATATCAGAACTTCCTTTTCCACTGAGCGGCCCCTGGGTGGCCCCTGGTCGAAGACAGAAGATGAATCTGGTCTGTTTCTTCTCTCAGGAA